GAATTATTTTGTGCATTAAATTGAATGAACATGGTCTGGATAGCCCACAGACATACCTAGGACCCATAATTGGTCTCCTTTAAAATATAACATGTAATACCCGTTAGTSCCACAAGAGGGCGGTGTTTGTTCTTTGAGGGGATTCTTGTGCCTTCAGGGTCCGACCACCAAACACCCCGCTCTGTTCTGCGACACCGCTCGAACAGACCGCTTCCACTGGATCTCCGAGGACCCGCCTCCCGAGCTGGTCCGGACCCAGAAGATGGACTGTCTCTTCCACTTCCTCCACAACATGCCGTTGAGTGAGTTCTGTTTTTAGAACCTTTTTATTTTTTGGGTTTTTTTTAAAAACCACAACAGTTTATTTTGTCTGCTCCTCAGTTCCCTGCTCGGTGACTCTGAACGCGGACGGCTCCGTGTGGATCACGCTGTCGCGCACGGTCCGAGCTCTCACACCTGGACAGGTAAACGCTGACACGGCGAAGTGAAGCTGGCGATTAATTCTTACGAGCGCTGACTCTGTTCCTTCCCTCGGCAGTTCGCCGTGCTCTACAAAGGAGACGAGTGTCTGGGCAGCGGGAAGATCCTCGAGCTGGGCCCCAGTGAGTTCGCGCTGCAGAGGAGCCGCGAGCGCTCGGCGGCGAGCGGCGGGCAGAAAGCGCAACCGGCACCTGAACCTGCCAGCTGAGACGGACTCAGATTCCAGCTGTGAGGACAAAGCTGTCCCTCTGAGACGGACTCAGACCGAGATGCTGAGAATCTGTAGTGTTCAAAAATACCTTTTTGAGTCAAGCAGCTTGAAAAGCATAATTTTTAAAAAGGTAATAAACTGGTCATGTGACACACAGATACTTAAAAAAAAACTGCTAATTAACGTGTACATAGATTAGAATTTCTAATTTTCAGAGTTGATTTTTAATATTTTCACCTGAGTCAAAGAAAAAAATGTTTTTCTCTTTTATATTGTCTATCTTAAATTGTGTAAAACATGGTTATAAAATTCTGCCAAATCTTGTATGAAACATTTTTTGTGCATTTATGTTTCAAACCAAATAGGGTGAAAATGTGCTTTTTAAAAACTGTTCCCAGGGGAGAAAAAAAAAGCCTGCAAGAGTTTGTAAAATWTAGAATTCTGAATTAAACATTTTTATTTTTAAAAACAATATAAAAGACAATGAAATAAAACACCTGGTTCTTATTTTAAGCAAGTATTTAAAGAAGATGAATTTTTAAGTTAAACCTTTATTTTAAGAGGTCGAACGTGCAGTTACGTTCTCCAACCACACGGGGGCGCTGCAGGACTACGTCACTCAATCTGGTTTGTGTAAATCACCAGAGCGAGAATCCTCGCGGTTACCTGTCCACATCAAACTTTTTTTTTGCCATGAAATGTGTTTTGATTTTAAATTACACTCATTGTTTGACTATTTTAAAACATTTTCCAGCTAGTAATTTGATATAAATGTCAGAGGGGTGAATTTATGAGACTTAAAATAAAAGGTGAGTAAATTTTACTATTAAAAGTAAAAACCAAAAATTTTAGCTAATTAGCCCTAGAAAGTGGCTCATAAAGAAAACAGGTTGTTGTAGAAAAATGGCTTAATTTGTGTATTTAGCCACACTTCTGTTATTTTAATTTAAAGATAATTAAGTTATAAATTGTATGCAATTAATTTTATATGAATTTTTTACAGAAACGCTAAGCTACATGTTAGCTCATTTATGCGATGGCTAACATTAGCAAAGTTGCTCATGGTTTCTTAATTAGGAGGAAGCAATTTTATTATATAAAAGTTTTAAATTTTAACAATTAACAGTTTGTTTCACAATAAAGCAACAGTGTTAGCATGCTGTACAGCAGTGTTTCCCAAAGTTGGGGTCGGGACCCAAAGTGGGGTCCCGAAACATCAAGGTGGGGTCCTGAAAAGATTTTCTGAATTAATTACATTTTTGCCTTAGTTATTACAAAGGAGCGAGGTTAGTATATTTAAAATGGATAAATGTAGTATAAAAATATTGTTACTATGTCCATGATTAGTTGACCTGATACAAATGTTTATCATCCAAAAACAGTTGGGGTCACAGGTCTCTGCTACTGTTATTTTGTGGGTCAAAAGCTGAAAGGTTTGGGAACCACTGCACTTTGGTTCCCAAAGTTGGGCTTGGGACCCAATTATGGGTCATGAAGCACCTTGGATAATCTCCAGAAATCAACTTAAAGGGTAATAAAATAATTGCTGATGTAATATTTTCCCTATAATTATTACAAAAACACGAAATAAGTATAAATAAGTATTTATATGTGTGTACAAACTGTTTATATTGTCAAAAARCCTGTGTTTTTAGGGTTATTAACAAAGTTCGTGTACTCAGACCAGTAATATTTGGGGTCACAAATTTAAGCCATGGATATTTTGTGGGTCTGAAGATAAAAAGTTTGGCAACCACTGCTGTACAGTATTGTGTATTTACATTAGATTTGTTTTTTTGGATACATAACATTTAAGCCGATTATTAAGGTTTTACTAAATATTAGTTCTCAACTTTTCCCCCCTTTTTTAAAAATGTCCAAAGTTTTCATGTTGGAGCTGAACTTTTCTAGTTGAAATTTTCCTAATTTTTTTCTCGCAGAATCTTGTTCTGTTTTTGTAGATTAGTTGACTTGTGCGTGTTTGTCGCTCCTCCCGAACCTCCCCCAGAACCCCCCCCCCCCCCCCCCCCCACCTGGAAGCGTCCCTAGGGGGGGAGAGCCATGAGAACAGCAGGTTTATGGAAATAAGCTGAGGAGGAGACGCAGCAGGAGGGGGAGGAGGAGGTGGAGGAGCCATTTTGTACTCATTTTAAACCCAGTGTGGCTGCGCGCCGTGGAGGTTCGGACACCATGGATGCCGGGCGTGTTTCCCCGCGGTAAAACTTCACCATGAGGGACAAAAGTAAAACGCGGTGCTGGGAGAGGCAGCCTTAATCCAGCGGAGGAGTTTTCGCTCAACTTGTCTGGGCTCCGGCAGGTAGAAGCGGGCATGGAGCTGCCGATGTGCCGCTGGGTTTGTTTCCTGCTGACTGCGCCTCTCCTCGCGGGGTGTTTGGAGATGCACCTCTCCGAGTCTTCACCTCCGGGGAGCCTCCTGGCGAACCTGTCGCTCGGTCCCGGGTGGACTTACAAACTGGACAGGACTTTGTCTCCCGGCTTCATCCAGAACTTTTTCCACGTCGAGAGGCACGGCGGGGAGGTCCGCCTGTCCCGCACGGCTCTGTGCGCGCGCACGCCCAGGAACCCAGCGCCTGTTTATTTCAGGGCAGGTTCCCCCGAGTCTGGAGACACTGTCACGCGTTTTAACGTGTTCGTCCACGGACAGGACTGTTTTATTAAATACAAAAGAAAGAGAGCATCAAGTAAGGCAGATTTTCACATTAAACACTTTTTAAAACTGAAGGCAACTACCTGTGTGCATACAGGTGAAATGTTATTGAATGTAACTGAACTTTTGCCAACTTTTGCTCGGAGCTTTGCCCCTTTAAACAGTAAATGTGTTGGAAAAGACTTTGTTGCCGTGTTGAGAGAGGGAGTTTTGTTCCTGGTCAACGACTTGTGTCTGGAGCTGGGAGAAAAGCTGGTTTTGCACTGCACTCTGCACGACAGACTTTCTGTGCAGCTGAGTTTCACACTTGAACATGAACACAGAGCCCACATAAAGCCCGATCAACCCGCGCCCAGGAGGAAGCGACAAGTTAACAGCTCTCCTCAGTTCCAGCTCAACAACTATCAGGTGTCTGTGCCCGAGAACGAGCCCCCAGGCACCCGGGTCATCACCCTGAAAGCAACCGACCCGGATGATGGCGAGGCAGGGAGGCTGGAATACAGCATGGAGGCTTTATTTGACAAGAGGTCGGATAACTTTTTCCAAATTGATGCGAAGTCGGGGAGCATAACAACCATCCAGGCACTCGACAGAGAGGTCAAAGACACTCACGTGTTCAAGGTCACTGCCACCGACGACGGCACCCCCAAAAGGTCCGCTGCTTCTTACCTCACCGTCACAGTGAGCGACAAAAACGACCACATCCCTGCTTTCGAGCAAAAAGATTACCGGGTCAGCATTAGGGAGAACGTGGAGGTCGGCTTCGAGGTGATAACAGTCCGCGCCACYGACGGCGATGCCCCCTCCAACGCCAACATGATTTATAAAATCGTCAACAAAGACGGCATAAACTCCGTGTTTGAAATCGACCCTCAGACAGGCCTGGTGAGGATAAGGGAGCGGCCCGACAGGGAGACCCAAGCCCAGTACAAGCTGATCGTCGAGGCCAATGATCAAGGCAAAGACCCCCATCCTTTAACCGCCACCGCTACCGTTCACATCACCGTGGAGGATGAGAACGACAACTATCCGCAGTTCAGCGAGAAGAGGTACGTCGTTCAGGTCAGAGAAGACATTGCCGTCGACACAAAGATCACCCGGGTGGAAGCAACGGATAAAGATGAGGGAAACAACGCCAAAGTTCACTACAGCATCATCAGCGGCAACATTAAAGGTCAATTCTACATTCACTCCCCCACCGGTGTGATCAGCGTCATGAACCCTCTAGACTACGAGATGATTCGGGAGTATAACCTTCGGATTAAAGCTCAGGACGGTGGCAGGCCTCCACTGATAAATGGCACTGGGATGGTAGTGGTACAAGTGGTGGATGTCAATGACAACCCCCCCATGTTTGTTAGCACACCTTTCCAGGCTACGGTGTTGGAAAACATGCCTGTTGGATATTCTGTTATCCACATTCAAGCAATCGATAGCGACTCTGGAGAGAACGCTCGCCTGGAGTACCGACTCACGGACACCCTGCCAGATTTTCCCTTCACCATCAACAACAGCACTGGTTGGATTACGGTGGGCAAAGAACTGGACAGGGAGATGACTGAGTTCTACACTTTTGGCGTGCAAGCGAGGGATCACGGGATGCCGGTGATGTCCTCAGCAGCTAGCGTCAGCATCACTGTGCTCGACGTGAACGACAACAAGCCCACGTTTACCGAGAAGACGTACTCGCTGAAGATCAATGAAGACTCCGTAGTGGGGACCAGCGTGTTGACGGTGACGGCCATAGATAAGGACATCAACAGTGTGGTGACGTATCAGATCTCCAGCGGCAACACCAGAAACCGCTTCGCCATCACCAGCCAGAGCGGCGGCGGTCTCATCACCTTGGCGCTCCCCCTGGATTACAAGCAGGAGCGGCAGTTCGTCCTGACGGTGACCGCCAGCGATGGAACGCGCTCCGACATGGCTCAGGTGTTCATCAACGTGACGGACGCCAACACGCACCGGCCCGTCTTCCAAAGCGCCAACTACCAGGTGACGCTCAGCGAGTCGAAGCCGGTGGGCTCCACCGTGGTGGTGATCAGTGCAACAGATGAGGACACGGGGGAGAACGCTCGCATTACATATGTCATGGAGGACAACGTTCCTCAGTTTAAAATTGACCCGGATACAGGTGCCATCACAACACAAATTGAGATAGACTACGAAGACCAGGCGTCCTACACTTTAGCAATTATTGCCAGAGACAATGGCATCCCTCAGAAGTCTGATACCACCTATGTGGAGATAATCATTCTGGACGCTAATGATAATACCCCCCAGTTCCTCAGAGATGTTTACCAAGGGACTGTACCTGAAGATGCACCAAGGTACACCAGTGTACTCCAGATCTCTGCTTCAGACAGAGATTCTGGCGCTAACAGCAGGGTGAGCTACAGCTTTCAAGGTGGCGACGATGGAGTGGAGGATTTTATGATTGAGGCTAACTCTGGCATCATCAGGACCAACCGTAAATTGGACCGCGAGAATGTTCCTGTCTACAATTTGAAGGCCTTCGCTGTGGATCGGGGTGTTCCTCCTCTGACAGCAACTGTTTCCGTTAATATAGTTGTCAAAGACATAAATGACAATGCTCCGGTGTTTGAGAAGGATGTGCTTTTCATCGACGTGGAGGAGAACAGCCGGGTGAATACCGTCGTAGCCCGAATCAATGCCACCGACCCAGACGAGGGCACCAATGCTCAGATCATGTACCAGATCATAGAAGGGAATAACCCTGAAGTTTTTCAGYTGGACATGGGTAACGGAGACCTCACTGTGCTCACAAACTTGGATTATGAGACCAAAACCGAGTACGTCATCGTGGTCCAGGCCACGTCAGCGCCGCTAGTGAGCCGGGCCACCGTGCACATCCGCCTGAAGGACATGAACGACAACCAACCCGTTCTGCAGAACTTCGAGATCATTTTTAACAACTACGTGACCAACAAGTCCAACAGTTTCCCAACAGGAATTATCGGAAAGGTACCAGCTCACGACCCGGATGTGTCGGATACGCTACGGTACAAGTTCGAATCTGGGAATGAGCTCAGTCTGCTGCTGTTGAATGAAGACACCGGGGATCTGAGACTCAGCAGGAATCTGGACAACGACAGGCCTCTGGAAGCACCCATGACCATTTCTGTCACAGGTGAGTCACCATAATTTGAAGCTTTCTCTTTCTTTTTAGAAAAACCTGACTTACTCATCAGTTTCACGTGCTAATTCGTTTAAATCACCTGAATAAAAATGGTCGTGACGCATAATCTGACTCGACAGTGGATACAAAAGTTTCAGCTGTGACACTGACTGTTGGAGTGTTTGCTGCAGGCTGTGTGCTGGATCCGGTTGTGCTGCTTTTGAGCGATAAACTATTGTGTGCAAGTGGTTGGTTTGGGTAATAAAAAAAGCTGCTATTAGCGGAGCACCCTCGTAACCAAACTGCTTTGTTGCAGCACTTATGTGGGTTTCTGTGAAAGGAAGAAATGTTGGTTTTTCTGTCTCAGTTAGTGGCAGAGGCTGATGAACACCTTGCGTTTGCAGTAAAACACTTAATCCTCAAAGATGTGTTTCTTCTTTTGATTTTTGAGTTGTAAAAACATTTCTGTGACCCAGCTTTGGATTTGGCGACATTCACCCCTGTAGGTCATTTAGAAAGAATTTGTCCTGAGTCGTCTTGTTTTTTCTTCTTGTTAAAAATTAGTCAGGGACAAACACTTCTCATTTAAACTGAGTGGATAACTGCACCACGCACTCACTCTGCATAAAAAAGTTTGTTTATTTAAAAGTTTCATGTCACGTGATCATGCAAATGTAATTTTTAAGGATCCTTATTTAAACAATGTGAGCTCCAGCAGTAGAAAATGTCCAAATATTGTGCTATTTACTCCTGTGACAATAGGTGAATAAATAAAGATTTAAACTGTAAACAAACACATAGTTTCAGTTTATTTCCAAATGCCTAAAAGCATCCAAAGAGGGAGGGGGGGGGACACTGAGCAAATAGATAACAGATGATGAACATGCTTTTATTTTGTAAATGTGCCTGATACAGCTATAGGTGCCAACTTTCATCCTGACTCCTTTATGTAAAAACTAAAAAAAAAGGGAATAAAATGAAGTAAAATACTAAAACAAACAAAAGATGCACAATTGAGATAATAAACAGTTATTTATGGTCACAGGTTTGATGTTTTTTGTAATGATATATTGTTGCAAATGTACCTTTTAAAGGTATAATAAATGGACCACTCAAAGTTGGTGGTAAACTGCACCATTATTGAATTTAAGGGTCTCAGTAGAGGTTCACCCCCACAGTAATTTTTCTGAATGACCCCCTCACCCTCCGTCCTCAACCAAAAAAAAGGTCAGATTGTCCTTTTTTAAAAAGTGTTTTATGGCTGTATTTGACCCGTGGAGCATCTGAAGGAGGCAGCTTCTCTCCAGGTTACAGGCCGTCATTTACTGCTCCCTGCATTCACGCTCGTCAATAACAACCGACATGTTTTAACGTATCCAAGACGACAACAGTGATAGTCCCGATGGGGGGGCGGGGGGCTGGAGCACTTTATTAGCTGGAGCTCTTTGCACAGGAAATAAACAAGTATTGCGCTAACACGTACAATCGCACTGAGAATAAATCTCCTGTTTTTAGGGTTCACGCTGATGTCAAGTGTTAGGTAACCATTACCCGATGAGGTGACCTTTTGACCCAGGGCTCTTGGGAGAGGAAAGCCCGAGGGGACTGGTCAAGACACCAAACCCTGGTCAAGCATTTTGTCTTTTAGTGCGGTTATTGTTCTGACCTTACGTTCGGGCGCTGCTTTATTCCGAAGCATAAAACTGGCACTTCATAAAGTCCGGAGACCAAGAACCAGTCTGTAATTGGGACCGGTTCAGTTGGGGTAAAACTAATTTATGTTGGAGAAGACCTGAGTGCCATCTGTCATAAGAAACTCAACTCTTTTATTTCCCTTTTTTAAGGCTCTCCGTTCGTCCTGTGAACAGCCGGCCTGAGAATGTTTTTCTAGCCTCTCCATGAAACACAAGAGCACTTTGATAACTCTAAGATACACTTGTTTAACACACTTTGATAGCCACAACACAGCTCCATCTGTCTTCCTCTACACATTTGTGTGTGTGTGTGTGTGCGCCCAAGATGGTGGCATTGCGGTTCAGTGGTTAAGGGCTGTGTGTTCCCATTGTAAGAGCTCTTATCGTAGCTTGTCAAATTTCACCTAAAACCTTTAGGCTTTTCTCTCTTTTCTGACAGATGTGTATCTGTCAATTCACTTTCACCCCCTTCACATCTTCTTACATAACTTCCTCAGGTGGAGCGATTGCCATTTCATTCTGGGCATTCCTTGAAATCAAGCAATCCCCGTTTCGCCTACCTGTTGTTGTTGCAACACAACTGGGCTTACAGACAGCAGGCTGAACGCCAGATAAGGGTGACGCACCAGTTAAAACAAAGCCTAAACTGGGCTCCAATAAACAAATATTTGTAGTTTTGGTAACTGCATGCAAATGGATGAACTGGCAAAAATGGAGGGTAAACAAAGTTGTAAACACGCCATATTTAGTCTTTTTTATTTATTTTATGTACGTTTTATGTAAAAAATCACTTAATGTGTTTTCCTTCAGGAAGCTTTCACTTGATTAATGGGGCTGATAACGGCTAATATTAAAACATGTACAAACAGGCTGTAGGTGGAGTTTCATGAAGATGCTGCATAGCTGATTGTTACTTAAATGATTAGGAATGATTGATGCTAAATCGTCTTTTTCCACACAAGCTCTGATCTCTTTCTCTTTTTTTTTAATTCTTACCTCCTGTTGTTGGAATGGCATGATGCTACACGCACTCATATGCCACACCTTTCCATCTACCCCCTCTTTTTCTTTTTTCTTTCTTTTATTTTTACCCCCATGGGGCTTTTCATGAGCTTCCCCGCCTTGGGTTCACTTCTTAATCCCGTTGGAGGAGTTGCATAGTTCAGCTTTTTCACATTTCTCTTCTGGACCGCCCACCCCCTCTGAGACGCTGTTTTTCACTCCATCCTTTTCTAAATATGCATAATTACATTTTCAGTCTGAGGCGTGAAGATGATGCTTAAATATATGCACTTTAATAATGTGCTCACTCAACTTTCACCACTTTATACAGTGCATTTCTCTTAGTAAAAAGGCACTATAGTGTTGACTTGGAAACTTTAACTTTAAAAATGTTACTTTATTACCATTTTTAGAAGCAAAAACGATGAAACGTTGTCTGATTTAGTGTATGGTTTTAATCAAATTCTATAAATTAGGAAATTAGGAAATGTTTGGGATCATGACACAGAATTCAAATGGACAAGAGAGAGCCTCACCATCCTTCCTGCCTTTACTCCTCTTTGCAGCAAATATGCACTGACAGGATTTTTACCCCAAATTGCTTTAATTAAATATAACTTCTTGTGATCCCAGCTTGACTGATGGGAAAAGAGAAAAATCTGTGTGCATTGAAATCCAAATATAAACAACTGAAAGTAGTTTTTCCCTGTTTTTTGCAAACTTAGATTTTTGCTTTCAGCTCTGTCATTCAACACATCTACCCAGAAATATTCAGTCAGTATTCATGAATGGTGTCAGCTTTGTGTCGGCTCGACACGCTTAGTTACTGAAACTAAATGAGCCCATTCATTCCTTAAATATGTCTCGCTTTAAACAATTCCCTTTTAAAATATTGCACTAAGCCTCTATTTTTCTCTCATTTCCTTTTATTGTCTTCCCACAAGCCTCTCCATGTAGCTTCCTAAAGCACAATGTTTTGAGCACGTGCCTGTTGATTGTTAGTCCGCTGTCATGTGGTTGTTGTGGGTCAACAAGTCGTAAGGTGTTACAGAAACCAGCTGTTGTCTCGTCTGGAGGCCTCGTCTTGGGTTTGATATTTTGTTTGAGAATGAATACTTGGCTAAATGTCTCATAGTTTCATATATTTATTGTTAGATTTGTGTGATTTATATACGTTTTTATGGACGTGGGCACTGCCTGGCAGGATCAGACCAGTTCGACACAACTCTTGTCTGAATGCTTAGTTATAGTTTTTGTAGAGGTGAGACATTTAGGGGTCTAACTAGTGTTATTTACTCTGAGAGGTAAGTTAACCTCTTGAGTCCCATGCAAAACAGCATTTCCCGTTTTCTATATCTTTTAACTTTAACTGAAGATCTGTAAGTTGAACCTTGATGTTTGGTATCAATAGAAAGCAAGAACCTTGGCTAAAAACTCATGGAAACTATATTTACATCCACCAAACACAGTTAAAACGACAGGCAGTTGAATCAGAAAGAAAACAAACTGTACAAAATGGGATTGTTGCAAATCTGAATACATTACAACAAATCTGTAAAGGAAAAAAAATTGACATCTGTTTTTAACATAAGTCAAAATAGATACCAAAATAGGTTGTAAAGTTTGTTGAGAATTTATTTTACTTGATTTTGAGTGAATATGGTTCAACTGAATTAAAGTATAATTCATCATTATTTTAAATAATATATTTGGTGACAAATGTTTGGATAAATTTTCCAAAGAACAAACATTCAATAACAAGTCTTTTAAGGCAGGTAAGAAAAAATAACTTTTGCAATTAAAAACTTAACATTTACTAACATTTATTAATAGTGCCTACATGGTCCGTCCTGTGCAGAACGTCAAAACGCAAAATTCTTTCTTTACTACAACCTCTGTAACTTTGCTCCAGTTMATTTTAGCAGCATGAGTCTTTGCACAGGTAATGTCCACTGGTGGACTTATGGTTTGCAAGAGTTTTTAGCCTGATTWGTTAGGGTTTTAAATGGGTTAAATACTGTCTAATGGAAAAATTATTCAGACAAGAGGGGGAAAAAATGTAAAAAAAATTATATTCCATCCTCAATATCTGTAAAACCACAGCAGCTGTTTTAATACTTACACTTCCAATGGAATCTCCCAAGTGTTAGCTTTATTTTGAAACCAAGATTATTTAAGTAGAGTTTGTAAATGCAGAGATACACTCAATTATATTTCAGCATGCTATTTTGAGCAAAAACATCAAGAAAAACCCTTGGGGCTTAAGAATGTAAATAAAACAAAAAAAAGCCTATTTTTTTTGCACTAAATTTGTCT